GTGATAGAAGGGGTGCAGAGAGTGTGTGAGTGGCGTGGGGTGCGTGCTGGCGGCGCGACATGTGGGTGTGAATTTGCGTTCGCGTGGCCTTGTGGTCTAGTGGTATGATTCTCGCTTAGGGTGCAAGAGGTCCCGGATTCGATCTCCGGCAAGGCCCTGTTCTTTGCTCACCGTTTTGGTCCCTCCTGAAACTGGCTCGTCTTAGCTTGTGTGGGCCTCCTGCTGTGTCTTTGTGGTGTCTGCCTGGCTCCTGGCACGTGTGGTATGCTACCGCAGCGCCCAGCACACCTGTAAGAACGACATCACTTGAAAAATGTATCGTGTGGGATCGGGAACGAAACGCGTCTAAAGTCAACGAGGAGGGTGGGCATGGGCACGTGTTGGTGCGGAGAGCGTGATAGAAGGGGTGCAGAGGGTGTGTGAGTGGCGTGGGGTGCGTGCTGGCGGCGCGACATGTGGGTGTGAATTTGCGTTTGCGTGGCCTTGTGGTCTAGTGGTATGATTCTCGCTTAGGGTGCGAGAGGTCCCGGATTCGATCTCCGGCAAGGCCCTGTTCCTTGCTCACCTTTTTGGTCCCTCCTGAAACTCGCTCGTCTTGGCTTGTGTGGGCCTCCTGCTGTGTCTTTGTGGTGTCTGCCTGGCTCCTCACACGTGTGGTATGCTACCGCAGCGCCCAGCACACCTGTAAAGACGGCATCACTTCAAAAATGTATCGTGTGGTATCGGGGAAGAAACGCGTCTAAAGTCAGCGAGTAGGGTGGGCATGGGCACGTGTTGGTGTGGAGAGCGTGATAGAAGGGGTGCAGAGCGTGTGTGAGTGGCGTAGGGTGCGTGCTGGTGGCGCGACATGTGGGTGTGAATTTGCGTTTGCGTGGCCTTGTGGTCTAGTGGTATGATTCTCGCTTAGGGTGCGAGAGGTCCCGGATTCGATCCCCGGCAAGGCCCTGTTCTTTGCTCACCTTTTTGGTCCCTCCTGAAACTCGCTCGTCTTGGCTTGTGTGGGCCTCCTGCTGTGTCTTTGTGGTGTCTACCTGGCTCCTGGTACGTGTGGTATGCTACCGCAACGCCCAGCACACCTGTAAAAACGACATCACTTGAAAAATGTATCGTGTGGGATCGGGGAAGAAACGCGTCTAAAGTCAGCGAGTAGGGTGGGCATGGGCACGTGTTGGTGTGGAGAGCGTGATAGAAGGGGTGCAGAGCGTGTGTGAGTGGCGTGGGGTGCGTGCTGGTGGCGCGACATGTGGATGTGAATTTGCGTTTGCGTGGCCTTGTGGTCTAGTGGTATGATTCTCGCTTAGGGTGCGAGAGATCCCGATTCGATCTCGAGCAAGGCCCTGTTCTTTGCTCACGTTTTGGTCCCTCCTGAACTCGCTCGGCTTGGCTGTGTGGGCCTCCCTGATGGGTCTTTGTGGTGTCTTCCTGGTCCCTGGGCGCGGGGGATATGTTACCGCAAACCCCCAACACACCGCTGTAAGGACGGCATCACTTCAAAAATGTATCGTGTGGGATCGGGAACGAAACGCGTCTAAAGTCAACGAGGAGGGTGGGCATGGGCACGTGCTGGTGCGGAGAGCGTGATAGAAGGGGTGCAGAGGGTGTGTGAGTGGCGTGGGGTGCGTGCTGGCGGCGCGACATGTGGGTGTGAATTTGCGTTCGCGTGGCCTTGTGGTCTAGTGGTATGATTCTCGCTTAGGGTGCAAGAGGTCCCGGATTCGATCTCCGGCAAGGCCCTGTTCTTTGCTCACCTTTTTGGTCCCTCCTGAAACTCGCTCGGTTTGGCTTGTGTGGACCTCCTGATGTGTCTTTGTGGTGTCTGCCTGGCTCCTGGCACGTGTGGTATGCTACCGCAGCGCCCAGCACACCTGTAAAGACGACATCACTTAAAAAATGTATCGTGTGGGATCGGGGACGAAACGCGTCTAACGTCAACGAGGAGGGTGGGCATGGGCACGTGTTGGTGCGGAGAGCGTGATAAAAGGGGTGCAGAACGTGTGTGAGTGGCGTGGGGTGCGTGCTGGCGGCGCGACATGTGGGTGTGAATTTGCGTTTGCGTGGCCTTGTGGTCTAGTGGTATGATTCTCGCTTAGGGTGCGAGAGGTCCCCGGAATCCGATCTCCGGGCAAGGCCCTGTTCTTTGCTCACCTTTTTGGTCCCTCCTGAAACTCGCTCGTCTTGGCTTGTGTGAGCCTCCTGCTGTGTCTTTGTGGTGTCTGCCTGGCTCCTGGCACGTGTGGTATGCTACCCGCAGCGCCCAGCACACCTGTAAAAGACGACATCACTTAAAAAATGTATCGTGTGGGATCAGGGACGAAACGCGTCTAAAGTCAACGAGGAGGGTGGGCATGGGCACGTGTTGGTGCGGAGAGCGTGATAGAAGGGGTGCAGAGCGTGTGTGAGTGGCGTGGGGTGCGTGCTGGCGGCGCGACATGTGGGTGTGAATTTGCGTTTGCGTG